TTTTTTTTTTTTTTTTTTTTTAAGTACATGTTATCCTCCTACCCTGATCAGTCCTTGGTCTTTGCCATCTCCATGTTTCCAGGTGCATTCTTTCCAGTTCATGTGCGAGGAAAGCTGAGGTGATCCTGGAGTTACACTCTCACCTTTCTCCCCTCGCTGTCCTTTTTGACCGGTGGGGCCCTGAACTCCAGGATCTCCCTTATCTCCTTTCTTTCCTTCGACACCAGCTGGTCCCTTAGGTCCAGTCCTCCCTGGAAGACCCCGGTCTCCTCTGGCTCCGCCGCGCCCTTCTCGTCCATCACGTCCTGGGGATCCCTGTATGCCGTGCATACCGGGAATACCGTTTGTTCCCGGTTGTCCACGGCAACACAGTTGAATGGTCTGCAACAGATGTTGAAAGACAGGTTATTCGTCTTCATAAGCCTGCATCAACCATACCAATTGTGGTATGATCTTGACACAACGAAAGCGTTTATCGAAAAAAATCTAACTACAAAAATCAATAGGGGAATAGTTACAATGAATAATCAAGAACAGAGACAACAGAAAAAGAAACTTGGGCTATTGCATGTAAAAGATGTTATGGTTTAAAACAAAAAATAACGTTCAACTTGAGGTAGAGGAGTCTTTTTAGAAACCTCAAAAGCATTCGTTTGAAAAAACAAATTCGTTTTGTAGAAAACGTTAGATTTTGAAATTTTGTTTAGCCTTTCTCTTTTTAATAAAGGGCCGGGACAGCTTACAGCTTACTTGTTTTTAACTAAATGAGCTCACCTTGTTTCTGCAGGTGTCTTCTGCTGCAGAGCTCAGGGCAATCAAGGGTAAAATCAGCAAACTCAACATGACGATTGGTGAAATGCTCATGCGCTTTTTAATCTTTGGTATCTTCCGAGATCTGTGGATGGTGAAACTAATGTTAAGCAACAAGGAGCCACAATAACAATCGTCATTTACTCAGCCAAGCTAAACGTGGAACGCTTTCAAAACGTGGCATTAATTTAATTTAATGATATAGTTTTATTTTAAAAAAAAATCGTTTTTTTTTACTGTTATGGTAGTATTATAAGAGAGCCAGTAAAGATCCATTTCAAATGGATGTTCAATTTTTTTCCGCGGTTTGTTTTAAGCCTTAAATTCTGGCCGAAATACATTTTTTCGTGATTCATACGTAGATCAATTTTATTTTATGGGATGGTGACTTATATACTGTTAAATTTACAGATTGACTTGAGAATTGGTGAAAGAGAAAAGTTTTGAATCTCATTTTGCGCTTTTGTTCGTGCCAGATACTAAGAACAGCTGCAGGAATAGTTTTTGGGATTTCATGGAAGAAATTATAAAAGTCCTGAATTATCAAATTCAAGGTGAATTCGGCATTGAAAGTTATAAATATATTTATATATTGATAGCATTTCTGTTCGTCGTAACTCGACCAAACGTCGGGTTACGACGAACACCAGAGCTGGCTAGTCGCAATGGACTAAACTATTGAATGGTCAAAAATAATGTAACGTGTCTTTGGTGAAATGGATGAACGCACGCCAATTGCCGTCTGTTGTCTTCACGCCCAAGAAAAGCATAATCAGAGTTTGATATTCTGTTCCAATGTTAATTATTGACAACCACTCTGGTCCCTTTTATTTTCCTTTCGCCAGAAAAAGCGAAATTACTTACCTTTAACGAATACGGCAACTGAGTCAGTAGTGGTCTGCTAAGAGAAACAAAAAAACTTAACGGTGGAGCAAACAAAACAGACTTTTAGCCTTAAAATTAGAGCTAAGGATGGACAAAAATTCCACACAATCCTCCGTAGGAAAAAGGATGGCGACTGGTACATTTACCCGAAGCTCTTAGCGCAAGAAAACTTTAAAAACGCTCGTAAAAACGTGTAGAAAAGTTATCAGATCTTTAAACGTAGGCTACACAATGTCCTCAGCACAGGAACAAATATTGTAAAAATTTGGCTTTTTTCGTGCCATATAGGCTGTGTTAGGTCGGCAGGGTATTGTGGTAAAATGTACAGCCGCCATCTTTTTTCCTACGGTGTATTGGAAGCGCTGATATCATTAACGTACTCACTTGTCGATGTTTAAATCAAAAGTGAATAAATGGTAAAAATTGATTCTGTTATAAGCATCTCGTGAGAATTATTTTGAAACAGCAGACATCGAACTTTAATTTTCAATTTTTAATTTTATACAGCACTGTCATTCGCTAGAACGTTATGTTCAGCTGTCTATTTGTCCAATGGGGTGAAAGCTTCTATCCTGTCTATTATTCTTGTATGGTTAACTAGTTGTTGGATAGTAATTTCACAAGAACCAAAAGACTTTAAACGTCAGGTCAAACTGATAATGGCATTATTACCTTTTTTCTCATTTTTTTATAAGGGATATACAATTCTGGAGTGTTTTAACCTCCTATTTTTGTAAAAAGGAGTTTGACAAAAAATGACATCTTTTCTAATTAGTGCTAAATATTAATTAAAAGGTAAATAAATGCCACGAGGAGGCTTGATCATTGAAGCTAAGGCTTTATTAACCAGTAGACCCCATCCTTAATGGAAACTCAAGCATATTGTATTGACCGGAGCAAATAAACTGTCAACAAGTCTTAACTTTGAGAACATTGCATCTGTCTGCATAACCTTGGTAACGTTAATAATAGCTTTCAAAGTTGAGTGAAAAAAAAAGGCTATGCTTATAAACGACACTTAACGAACCTTTTTATTCTTGTCGTGAGTGTTATACAGTCATACAGCCATATCACCGCAATGATTCCGTCTTTCAAAGAGGAACCAAACAGATTCAATGGTTGATAAGATATATATGAGTAAACAAAAGAACATTCTCCTTAATGGAAACTCAAACATATTGTCTTGACCTGAGTAAATTACCCCTCAAAAAATCTTTAGGAACATGACGCTTGCTTATATAACGTGTTTAATATTGATATTAGCTTTCAACGAGGACTTAACCAAACAGGCTGTGTTTATAAAACAGGCTCTGCGAGAACATTTATTCTTATCGCGCGTGAGTCAACTGAGGCATATAACAGTGATTCTGTGTTTCGAAAACAACTAAACAACTGGACTGTTTAGATCCAACGGATATAGACATTTTTTGAGTAAGCGAAAAAGAGCCTTGCATGTTCTTAATGGAAACTCAAACATATTGTATTGACTTGAGCTCATAAACTGTCAGCATTTCTTGTTTAAAACCTTTAAGAACATGACGCCTGTGTATATAACCTGTTCAACCTTAATGGCTCTTAATGATGAGTTAAAAAAGACTGTGTTAATAAGACGAGACTTTACGAAACCTTTTATTCCTGAAGTGAGTCATAAATGGGGTATAATAAAGTGTATTATTATATGGCTTTGGCTTGTGGCCGATATAACGCGCGCTCTGATTGGTTAATTGTCACTGAATTGTAGGGCATTATTCTCCCGTAATGCCCAC